CTTTATAACGTGTATATCTCTGCTACCTGGCATTACGTTTTATGACACACATGGCCCGGTCCAACAAGGTCTCATTTATGTCAGATCCGGCCCACATAACAAATGAGTTTGACACCCCTGGGCTAGAATGTTCCAGCACAACCGTTTGATTGCCACCATGGCAGCCATGAAGTCCTGTGCCATCAGAGCAGCCTCAGGAGGGAAACTGAAGTCCCCAAGTACCACAAATCTTGGGTTCCTCAGTACCAATTCTGAGGCTGTGGCTATTAGCTCAAGCATATACACCACTGGGTAGTACACCAACAGAAACACTATTCTGATCCAGACCCCCCAGCATAAGGTACATACGCCCCAAATTTGGACGCTGGGTAACAAAACACCCAGTAAAAACCAGAGAAGCTTAATAGATACACCACTCCACATCCCCAGCCACAGAGGCTGTGCTGATGCTGCACCAGGAAATCTCAGGGGCATGATTTGGAGATGCTTTCCCCCTCCTCCTTCATCCAGCCAAGTCTCTATAAGGCACACCAGGTTGGTTTCCTCTAGGATTGGATCCCGTCTCTAACTAGGTGCCTTCCTGTGAACCCTGGTGCTCAGCAGCAGCATTTCTAGGTCTGATGAGCAATCAGCAAGATCAAGGCAGACTTGACTGAGAGAAGGATGAAAGGAAGCAATAGGCATGTCTTTTTAACTGCTTCTGCCTCAGGCCTGTCCTTCTCCCTCCCTGCTGCCCACGCAATAGTGGTATCTCTTCATTGCTCCAGCACAGGCAATCAGCCACATAATACAATGTAACCCTGGTGGTGATACAAAAACTACTGTGCAAAACGACCACGTCAACCTGCCCACCCACAAGCAAGGTTTAAGAACCGAACGAGATTACCGATATTAACAGACTACTCTCCAAAGGACAAACATAAGGATGCAAAGGTAAAATGGGAAAACTGACAAATTACTATAGTAATGATGACTACGAGCCCCACTCACTACAAAACCCCTAAACAGCTGACAAAGAAACCAAAGATGGAATAAGGTCACTTGAGCCCTCCCAGAAAGAACAGAAAAGGAAATGGGAATGGGAAACAGAAAAGATGAAAAATAGGTAGCAATATAGTTACTGGCCCTCACACTCATGCTCCCCAAGGGGTCAATCCCCTTTGGCATCACCATATCACAGGTGATGGGTGTCAACAGGATACAGCATGCTGAGAAGGCCCCTGGGTGGAGCGTCTCCTTTCCCACTCTGTCCCCAGAGTTCCGTGGCCTTGGCCACTACAGATCGTCCACAGGAGCAGTAAATGAGAGGAGTTGGGGAGACTGTGGTGGCAGTCCAGACTCAACCCAGATATCATGCCTTCCCATTCCTGGACATGTGCCACTGAATCCCACGTATCCAGCCACTCATTTCCTCTGCATGCCAAATGCAGGCTCAGTGGTGCTGCCCCCTTTCCTGAAGCCCACAGTGCAGCCTCGTCATTGCAAGGATCAATCGCTGGACATTAAATGCCAGGGGGAAAAACACCTCTCTCTATTTGAGCCCTCTCACAGGGGCAAATGCATCCCAAGGAGGCATTACGAGTCACACCGGAGTAGGGATTCAGAAAGCATTCTTAGCATTGTGCAGAGTCTCCCAGGGGCATCAGATGACCTTGCCACGGGATTCAGGAACCATCATTTCCCAGCACCTGGTCGGTAAAGGGGGGGTGGAGTCTGAGCTCCAGCACTTCTTTTTGAAACCCAGCCAGGCAACAGTAAAGTGGGCAAGATCCTCCTGCTTCCTCCAGAGGATGTTTCAAAAGGAAGTGCTGGAGCTCAGACTCCGCCCCCCCCCTTTACCCATCAGGTGCTGGGAAATGATGGTTCCTGAATTCCATGGCAAGGTCATCTGATGCCCCTGGGAGACTCTGCACAATGCTAAGAATGCTTTCTGAATCCCTACTCCGGTGTGACTCGTAATGCCTCCTTGGGATGCATTTGCCCCTGTGAGAGGGCTCAAATAGAGAGAGGTGTTTTTTTTCCCCTGGCATTTAAGGTCAGCAGTAAAGTACTTTAACTTGTACATTGCCCCAGTTGCTGCATCATTTTGTTCCTCACAACAGACAGTCCAGACATAAGTGCTGTGCTGCTGATGCTCTCAGACTTCCTCTGTTTGAGAACCCATTGGCACGGCGGACAGCATCAAACACTAGTGCCATGAGTGCAGAATTAACTTACTGCTGGAGGAAGCTACTGCCGGTTGAAGGCTTTGGTGCACTCACATCCTAGGAAGCGGGAAAGATCTGCATTTTGAAAAACTTGATGCAGGCTCCATTGGATAGGGCCTTTTCACTCAGTTTGCAAATCCAAACTCTTGAGAAAACACCCTTGCTGCCACTTTCTTCTTAACTTGGGCATAGGAAAGCTGCCCAAAGTCCTACAGTAGGGCAAGGAGTCCCTTTCAAACCTCAGCATTCAACAGAGCTTAAGTCTCTGAGCCTGTACTTCTGTTTTGTGTACAGAGGACATGACACTATTTACTCTGTTGAGTGTATATATCAAAAACATCTGGACCCAGGAAAGCTTAATTCAAGCTTTCCAGAAGAGAAGAGCACTAACACTCTCCTTTCCTCCTTTCAAACCTTTTTTTTAAAAAATGGTGAAGTAGCCCAGGTCAGTGTAGTCTTAGGGAGAATTAGCACTGACTGGTGAATGGCTAAAGTGTTCTGAATTTCTGCATATTTGCTTCTGCCAAGGAATAAGAATGCGAGGGGAAATGAGGGATGGCTTTTCTCAGCAATGCTATCTGGGATCTTGTTTGGGGATGGGAGGCAGGGGCCTTAGGCTGGCCGCCTGGGGCAGCTTTGCTCTTTAATGTTTTACTCCCAGTCCTTGGAAGGCTGTGAGGCAATGAGCAAAACGTATTACTAAATGGTTAGCAAATAGCACAGTCGTCTTATCTGGATCCACCAAACCCAGCCCTGCTGGTGCCTGGCTTCCCCTGAGAAGCGAGTTCCGTCCTCTTGGAAGAAAAGAAAAGAAACTCTGCGGTGTGGCAGTTTTCAAACTATCAATCAAATCCCCCCCCCAACTGTCTCCCTCCCTTTCTTCCAACAAGTTCAGGGTAGGGTACATACTTCTTCCCACCTCTTTCCACAATAACCCTGTGAGGAAGGTGAGACTGAAGGACAGCAACTGGTCCACGGGCTAGGCATTGACGACAAACAATTGGTGCCAAAAATCCTCAGGCTAGGCAGCCTGCCCCAATACCCAAGAGATTTGCCCCCCTGCAATTGCTGCAGTAGTGTAGGGATCCCTGGTTTGTGTACAGCTTCCTTGGTCTAAAATTACAGTTGCTGCAGTTCATGACTGGTGAGGTACTTAGGCAGCTGTGCGCCCTGTCTCCTGGTATGAAATTTGATCTCCTGAATTTCTGGTGAATTTCACCTTTCACATGAAGTTTTCTTTACCCCAGAACTGAATTTCTTAGTTCAAAGCGAAACCTTTTGCAACACAGTTGGCCGCTGCAGTTCCTTTGCAACATCATTCTTACTTTGCAAAAAAGAAGCTCTCCACTTCTCTGCAAGCCAGTTAGACTTTACGGTTAGGCCACGGAAACCTCCATCTCTTTCCATGAGATTGCTGGCAGATTTGAAGTTTCCCTTCCCTCTAAGGTTCTATGAAAAGCACCTGTGCGTGGCCAGGACTCCAGCCAAGCCACAAAGCAATGGCAGAATGAGGATGAGGAGACTGCCAGTGCACCACAGGGGTTCAGCTCCCTCTGGCCTTCAGTGGCATCCACTGGAGCCGGTGAACACTGCCTCTTGGCTCAGACCTGGCTGGCTGGCTGGCAGCTGCATAGGAGGAGGCAATGAATGACAGAATATCTTGAACTGTCCCTGCTTCTACAGCAAGATTACCGTCCATCAAGGAGGGACACGGGCAGTCAAAGAACTGGCTGCCGTGCCTGGCAAAACAACGTAGGCAGCCTTGTGCTCCAGCACCTATCCTGCTTCTATCACTGGTCTTGATTTTTGCAGTGAACTGTAACGATCCACTGGGAGGTATGGCAAAGGAAACCTTATTTTGGAAAGCAATAGGTGCCAGGATCCAAATCTTCATGGTATCTCTCTCCCGCTAGCATCAGCTTGGGGGGGGGGGGGCTACCTGGCAGTGGAAAACCAGGAAACTGACTTGATTGTGCGTGCTCAGATGCGCCTCTGCTCTAGCCAGTGACCCTTGCCTGCAGGTAGAAGAAAGATACCTCTGCATGTACGATCATAGGAGCCCTGCTGGATCTGACCGGTAGTCCATCTAGTTTAGCTTCTTGCTGCTCACAGGGATGGAAACCTTTGCATACTTTTTCCGTTGTGCATTTACACACACGCCGAGTCCTTCAAGATAGAGATGTGCACCATCTGCTGCAAGCCCTATGGCATAGGGTGGGTCATAGCTTCACAGGCATTGGCGAGTGGCCACCTGACGATTGTCTCTTTGACGCAGGAGCCCCAAATGCCATGCTGGTGTGGAAGTGCCAACCTCCACACTCATATGGAGGGCGTCACCCTTGCATTCTGATCCAAGAGGTGTGGAAGCTAGCTATGGTGGTGGAGAGGCACTCTGCCCGTGCTCAAAAACCCAGTCTCACACATACTGCAGCTGAGCTCCAATTAACCTTGCAGCCCAAGGAGCTGCCTGGCTGGCTAGATCACCTGGCCCAATTTCTGTTTCCAGCGCACCTCCTGAACAGCCGACAAGCTGCCCTTCCCTTGGTTCTGCAGTGAAACACACCCAACGTCTCTGCCCTCCTCCCAAGGAATGATAAACCTTCGCCCAAAGTTTGTCAGACTTCTATGCCTCTTTGCCAGTCCACGAACATCACAGCTTTCTCCCCTGCCTTGGGGAACATTTTGCCCCCACCATAATGTCCGCATAGCGGTGGGGACATAAATATGGGGGGTGGGCTTCAGGCCTCCCTTATACAGAAGGGCAGTAGGGTGAAAGGGAAGGGTACCTCCTACCTGTGCTGGGGGCTCCGGGGCTCACACTTAGACTCAGGAGCATCACCAAAGGGAGGGTGCAGCACAGCCCTGCGAGGGAGAAAACAGAGGCGGTTAGAGTGTGCGGCCCCCCCCTGTTTTTAGGGGAGGGGCCAGAGGGCGAGTCAGGCGCCTGGCCTGTACTTACAGCACATAGCAAGAGAGGGAAAGCGGGAGAAGGAGAAGCTGTCCAGGCGCTGCCTCCGTCCTGCACCGCGAATTCCACAAGGCAGCTGTGCCCTTCCTGACGTCGCCTCAAAAGGCAGCCCCCGGCTCGGCCTCCTCCCTTCCCCAGATGCTGCTCCACCCCTTTCCTCTGCATGCACGGCGGTAACAACTTCTGGATTGGGAGGGGGCCCGCAGGCCCGGCAGATCAGAGGGGGCTCTCCCACTTAGCCTGCAACCGGCCGACCAAGTGCTGTCTCTGCCGCAGGCAAAGCGAGGATGGAGGCGCGGGGGGTTCCTCCCGCTCCTCACAAAGGCAGAAGATACAAAGAGGTTCGGTCAGGTCTTCCCATTGGGCCCAGGGGCGTGGGATTTTTGCATGAGTTTCACAGAACTCTTTAGTATCCTGCCCAATGAATAGCTCTGTGAAACTCCAGATGATGTCAGACTTCTTTGGAAGTGGGAAGGTCGGAGACGTCCATCAACCCCTTTGCCTTGCAGGCCAAAACCTGCAGGGAAGTCACCTGGCCAAAGATTCACAACAGCTGCGCTCCAGTCTCCCTTCCAGACGCTAGCTAGGAGCCAAAGAGGAGGCGGGGCAAGTTCCATCGTTCATTGTTCCCTGTGCAAGGTGATGGGGGGGGGAGGCTAAATTTAGGCTGCAAGGCAGCTGCGCAGGTTCAGAAGCATCCCTCCTCTGCCCGCCCCCACCCCCGGAATTTGGAAGCATCCTTTGCATTGTAGGTCTTGCAGCTCTCTCCTAACAATAACAAAATGCCTGCATTCTTTTGAACTATGGTGCTGGAGAAGACTCTTGAGAGTCCCTTGGACTGCAAGGAGATCAAATCAGTCAATCCTAAAAGAAATCAACCCTGACTGCTCCCTGGAAGGCCAGATACTGAAACTGAAGTTCAAATGCTTTGGCCACCAAATGAGAAAGGAGCACTCACTGGAGAAGACCCTGATGCTGGGAAAGAGTGAAGGTCAAAGAAGAAGGGGATGGCAAAGGATGAGATTGTTAGACAGTGTTATCAATGCAATGAACATGAAATTAAGCAAACTCCAGAGCACAATGGAAGACCGAAGGACCTGGCGTGATGTGGTCCATGGGGTCGCGAAGAGTCGGACTCGACTATGCAACTGAACAACAACAACAAAATACCAGGCCTGATGCTTGTGCTTGGTTTTCAGCTCTTCATTTAACCCAGAGCTTCAGGTGGGGGGGAGGACACATCCTGCCATGAGACGCCAAGATCTGGGCTGGCCCAAAGCTGATTTTAGGGTACAAAAACACCAGTTCACTTTTCAAAGGTATGGCTTACTCTAGAACACAAAAACTAAGCTTAGGACCAGACACAGAAGTACGGCATCTTCTGGGGGACAAATTTTCCTGTAACTGCAAAAGAAATGCTAGAAAAAGCTGAAGGCAGCAGGAAGACCCAACATATGATAGATTAACTCAATCAAGGAAGCCACGGCTCTTAGTTTGTAAGACCTGAGCAAAGCTGGTAACAATAGGATATTTTGGAGCTAATTAATTTATAGTGTCTCCATATTTTGGAAGTGACTTGACTGCACTTAACACACACACGGGGTGTGGTCAGATGTGCCATTTGATCTGGTGTCTTGCCAGTTCAGAAACGGGTTTTATCTGCGCTATCACACAGTCAACATCTGCCTCCCATCCCCAGCCATCGCTTTCCAGCTCAAAACCACTTTAACCCGGAGTATTTTGATACCAGGTCCCCAACTGGTGTTTTCCTGATTCTCCAGTTCCAGCCGCATTTTCCCCCTGTGTGATCGCTCCTCTGGTGTCGAGCCACTTCCAGTTTAAACCCCCTCCCCACTCGAAAGCTGCCCGAGGCTTCCGCTTTTTGCCTGCCATTTTTTTAAAGCGTTGGTGGTGTGCGCATAGGCAGAAGCCCACCACCGCATTATTAAAAGCAATGTTTAAACGGTGCCTAGTTTTAGCATTTAGATGAGTTTGGGATCTCACAGAGGCCATTTTCGGGGTAAATGTTTCAAGGGAAGTGTTCCTTTAAAGTTTCAAGGGAAGTATTACAGCAGTCGGGTTGAAGTGGAGATTGTTGTTCTGCACATGCGCAAAATTTTTAGTTCTGCAGATGGCTGCCTGTGCACATGCCCAAACTGAGAGAGAGAGAGAGAAAACCAACATCAACGCACACTCCCACTTGTGGACGGCGGGGAGCGATGTGGCTGCACAGCGATCCGGCGCAAAGAGGTGAGTGTGATCATGATTCTCCAGGTTAAAAAAAACCGCACCAGGGCTGGAGCAATTTAAACCGCTCCCAGCACGCCGTCTGACCACACCCACAGAGTGTATAATTTGGGCTGACTCAAAGCAAATTTGAGGGCTGCACCCTTCTCCTCATATCTCATTCTAGAGTGCGTTGGGGGGGGCATAGTGTATTGTGGCATGTCACACAAAACAAACATTTGTGCTGGCAATACTTTTGGAGCATCTGCCCATCACAGAGATGTATAATTCGGCACAGGTACTGGGGCAATGCTAATTTTGGGGTGCAGATGTTTACAAATGTCTGTTCCTTATTCGGGCAGCACTGTATTGAATAAGAAACTAGGAGCCAGCTCTGGCCTCTCAGATCTGCATCCAACAGGCTTGGCATCAATCAGCAGCTTAACAGAAGTGTTCCGGTATGCAGGATCCGCTGGGTTCCCCTCCCACCGCTGCCCAGTCCGTCTGCGACTGCAGTGTAGATTGTTTACTTTTTTTTGTAAGCCTCCATTTCTTCAGGCCTCCCTTTGCAGAGCAAGGGTGCAGAGACCTGGTGGGCCCTGCATGGAACACAGACTCAGAGCCTGGTTGCTTACCCTTGCTTTTAAGTGGCAACCAGCAGCACTGATTCTACTGTCGATTGGTATTGCCAGAATAAGGAAAGCAGCGGATGCACCACTCCCAGCCGTCAGGAGGGAGGGAAGGGAGGGGACTGGCATCCCTTTTTGGGCTCATGCCACCATGGTCAGGTCCAAAGGAGATGGGCGTACCTAGCAAAACAAAAACAAAAACAAAACTTACAGACTCTGGACTAGGAGCTTTGAGACCCTGGAGAAGCTGCTGCCAGTCTGAGTAGGCAATACTGATCTTGATAAACCGATAGTCTGATTCAGTATAAAGCAACTTCATGCGTGTATGTAATTCCTCCCTCTGCCATGAAGCTCACTGGATGAAGCATGGATTGAACTGGATTGAAGCATGGACGGCTTCAAAAGGGAATTAGATAAGCATATGGAGCAGAGGTCCATCAGTGGCTATTAGCCACAAGGTATAGCTAGGGGCTCTGGGGCAAGTGATGCTCTGTCTTCTTGGTGCTTGGGGGGGTCAACAGTGGGAGGGCTTCTAATGTCCTGGCCCCACTGCTGGACCTCCTGATGGCACTGGTATTTCTGGCCACTGTGTGACACAGAGTGTTGGACTGGATGGGCCTTTGGCCTGATCCAACATTGGCGTCTCTTATGTTCTTATGTTCTTATGATGACCTGGAGCCAGTGAGTCGCTTTTGCTCAACCCAACCTACCTCACAGGGTTGTTGTGAGGATAGAATGGGAATGGAACCATGTCTACTGTCCCAGGCTCCTTTGAGGAAAGGCGAAGTAAAAATGTACAACAGAGTTTAATTGAAAAGTCTCCTCCTTGGTCTTTTCTGTTGTGGCCTCTGTTGCTTTGTCTTATTTCCACAAAACCCTCCTCTTAAAAAGCCCTGCATTTTGCATTTTAACACGGAAGAGACACACAAGGAAAACTTATCTATGCCTTTGCCAAATATTAGTCTCATTCACAAACAAACAGTCTGAAAGTAGGCAGCAGCAGGGCGGGTGCCGTCTCTTGTGCAATCTCCCTAGCCTCTTTCCCCCACTCCAGGGATATGGAAATGCGGCCTTTTCCTTATTTACTCAGCAGCACTGAATTCCAAGGTTCCAAGCCTGGGGTGTTCTTTTAACCACAACAATGAATGATTGTAAAAAAACCCTCAGGGATGCTTCTAATAAGGCTGGAAAAATAAGTGCCTGACTTTATTTCCCAGTCTTGTTCTTTAAAATTTTGGAATTAAATTAAAACAATCTTTAAAAAGCATGCATGGATAATTCCATATGAAAGTAATACACGTTTTCCATAGAAACACAGAATGCCACAACATGTTGTTGTTGTTCAGTCGCACAGTCAAGTCCGACTCTTTGCGACCCCATGGACCACTTTTATTTATTTTTATTTATTTATTGCATTTTTACCCCGCCCTCCCCGCGAACGGGCTCATCACGTGCCCTCCTGTCTTCCATCGTGGTCTGGAGTTTGCTTAATTTCATGTTTGTTGCCTCGATAACACTGTCTAACCATCTCATCCTTTGCCGTCCCCTTCTTCTTTGACCTTCAGTTTTTCCCAGCATCAGGGTCTTCTCCAGTGAGTGCTCCCTTCTCATTTGGTGGCCAAAGTATTTGAGCTTCAGCTTCAGTATCTGGCCTTCCAGGGAACACAACACAGGCATACATATAAATATGCGGGTTGTCTCATTTGCTTAATCCTTTCTTACTTTTGCTATGGAGACAGGCCTAATTAACTGATGGAACTGGCTGCCCCAGGGTGTAATGATGGCCATTAGAACAGGTTCCTTCAAAAGGGGCTTAAGACAAATTCATGGGGGAGGAGTGGTCCACCCACAGCCATTAGCCATGGTGGTTAAGTGGGATCTCCATCTTCAGAGGCAGTATATCTCTGAATTCCAGGTTCTAGACAGGGAGCCACAAAAGAGGGAGGCCCTGGCTTCTGTGCCTGTGCTTGTGGATCTTCCGTGGCTTCTGGCTGGCCACTGTGGGGAACACAGAGCTGGATGAGATGGACCTTTCGTCTGATCCAGCAGGGTCAGAGAGGATCTGCAAGAGAGTGCAATCCCTTGTTCTAGGTCCTGACCCATGGAAAAATCCCACTTGAGCCCGTCCTACCCAGCTTCTGAGAAGAGCAGCCGATTGAAGCAAAAACATCCAAGAGTCTTGGAGTGTCTTGGAGACTTCTTGTTGGGGTTCGAGCTTACCTAGGCTCTTGCCTGTCTATTCTTGTTTCATCCTCTAAGTGTTATAAGAGTCTTGGTTGAACGTTTCAA